CGCGCAAACTTGGGCTCGCGCTTCCTGGCCCGGCGCGGAGCCCGGGGCGCCCGGAGCCCCGCCATGTCGCGATCTAACCGGCAGAAGGAGTACAAATGCGGGGACCTGGTGTTCGCCAAGATGAAGGGCTATCCACACTGGCCGGCCCGGGTGAGCAGAGCGGCCCGCCGCCCCCCTGTCCCCATGGGGTTGCATAACAGCGGGGAGGGCTTGAGCTCCCTGCGCGGGCGGGCGGAGGGGGAGGGCAGGGGTCTCTGGGTCCCCCTCCCCAACTCTCCCTGTCGCCCTCAAGCCCACCCGGCGGTTATATAATGGAGGCGGGCGGGGGGGGGCGGCGACACCTGGCGGGTACGGCGGCGTCGCGTCGAGGCGTGTGCGCCACGCGGGGATCTGAGGGCGCGGGTCACCTCTGGCCCTGCTCCGCGTGCTCCGTTCCGCCCCCAGCCCCCACCCTCGCCGAGGCTTCAGCAGCGCAGTCAGGGTTTTGGGGACCGATCGTGTGGCTCCTCCTACCGCCAGGCCCCTTTTGGGACCCCTTTGAGGTCCCCAGTTTCCCCGTTGACTGTCAGCCCCCCCCCAAAAAAAACACAAAAAAACAACAATCAGCTAAAACTTCCTGGGTCAATGGCTACGAATGGTCCTAGCCCCGAGAAAACTAGATTTTAGGAGGCGGAGTTCGCTTCTCGAAAACTTTGGTTTGGGACCTGTGAGAGGTCTGAAGTTGCGGGGAGGGTCGAGGAGTGGTTGGGAGTGGTCTAAGGATCTACCTGGCTTGAAAACTCACCACCACCCGTCAACACCTCAGCTCCACGCACACAAAAATAATCTTCCATATGCCACCAGCTCAAATTAGGGCCGAAGGCGGCCGGCAGGGCCCCATGTGGGGTTGGGAAGTGGTCCAGACTGCCCTTTGGGTGAGAAGGGGGGGGGATGAGTTGCTCTCCCTCCCCCCCCTCCCGTTCCCGTGAGCATCTCCCGCCAGAAAAGCCCTAGTCCGCCATGTGGTTAACTCAGCCCGCCAACCAAAGGGCCTCCTCCCTTTAAGCACCTGGCCAGGTGGGAGGGTGGGGCCCCCAAGCCAGGCCCGGAGTGTTTATCACCTTTCCCCTAAAGGACTGAATGGTGAAGTAAGGGAGGTTGGGAGTTGGCGGTTGCTGGAGGAGAATGGACATGTGGGATGGGCAGCTCCTCTGGCATTTCAGAGTTGATGCAGAAGGGCCTTTGGTCCTGGGTGAGGGCATGACTCAGCCCCCCAGAGTGTAGGACTTCTGTAGATTGAAATCCGAGGGTAGAAAGGTGGGGGGAAGGAGGAGGGAAGGTGGCAGGAACAGGAGGACTGCTTTGTAGTTTGGGGTGCTCTCAAAAGCCAAGTTGGGGGGCAGGGAAAGTGGCTCAGTGGTAGAGAGCTTGCCTTGCATGCCTGAGGCCCTGGGTTTGATTCCTCAGCACCACATAAGCAAAAAGAAAAAAAGCCAGAAGTGGCGTTGTGGCTCAAGTGGTAGAGCGCTAGCCTTGAGCTGAAGAGCTGAGGGACAGCGTCTAGGCCCAGAGTTCAGGCCCCACGACCGGACCCAAAAAAAAAAAAAGGCCAAGTTGGCTATTCATCTGACCTAATACTGTTCTAGGTTTAGGAGATTGCCTCAGGCTTACCTGGGTCCTGGTTCAGGGTGTCAAGAAACTAAGAAAAATCCAAGAAACTCTTGTGCACCCTTGCCTGAGGAGCATGCCTTAGCAGCATTAGCTTTGAGCTCCCTGTTGTCTGAGATTCAGTTAAAGTCTGGTCTCTGGCACGGGAGTCAGCAGAGAAGCAGGGCTCATTTTTAGGACCTCAGAAGAGGGCTGAGGTGGGACAGTGTGAGGAAGCAGCCTTGTGTGCATGTGCGTGGCATGTAAACACTCATGTACTTTACACTGCACCCTTTGATCCCACTGGCTTCTTGGTCCAAATACCAAGGTCTGGTGGGCTGAGCAAGAACTGCACCCAGGTCTCCCCTGATTCTCCCTCCTGGGGATGAGACAAAGTCCAGAGGCTAGCTCAGCCTGGGAGGAGGTGTTAGCTGAGATGTGGGTTTTAGGGAACCCCTTCTGTATCATGTAAGAAACAGAACAAGTAGGGACACACTGGATCTACGGTGGCCCTCTGAGGAAGGCCACCAGGCAGAAGGGTAAAACCGGAGGTAAAGTTTCTTCTACTGAGGCCTGGACCTTTCAGATAAAAGTTGGGTTGGGATGTGGAGGTCCAACAAGATCTTAAGGAGATAGGACACCACACTCTGCCTGGCTCTGGCTCTGGCTCTGGCTCTTGATTGTGACAGTTGGGAAGAGGGGTACACCCAAGGCTGTTACCTGCCTCCCAGATGCATCCCCCTTGGGTCCCAAAAGAACAGACTTGGCTAAGTCTCCTCACTTACACCTTGGACTGTTTTAGTCCCTAGGGTGGCAGAGCCTGAGAGGCCCAGGCTCTCCTGAAATCTTGAGGTAGGAGGGAGTCACCCCAGGAGACTAGCAGAACCCTCAACCCCACGAAAACAACTGTGTCCTTGCTGCTGAACAGGATGGGAGAGTTCAGACATTGGGGCCACGTGGTAGCGGTAGCAGGGCCTGCCTGGAGGGATGGTGTGACTCCATCTTAACCTTCTCTGTTCTTTCTTCCTCCTTAGTTCTAACTTGGTGGCAGATCTCTAGGCACTTAAATGGTTAATTTACAAAACTCAGGGATTTGCCCCCAGGTTCCTTCCTTTTCTCTCTACTTCAGTTTCACAATCTCTGAAAGATCCCAGACCTCCTTCTGCCCTTCCCCCACCTCTTTTTGCCCCTCAGGCTTGCCACACTTCCTACCCCTAACTGACTGAACTGCTTGCTACCCTGGACTTTCCTGTTCCTGGGTCAGGTCAGCCTGGCCCTGGGTGTGGTGGTCGAACCTTGGCCGGCCTCCAGCGAGTGCTTGTCCTTCCTTCGGCCCTCCTAAGTACTGGGGTGACCCTGGGCCTATTTTGGGTCTGAAGCTCAGGCAGCTATCACTCCCCACCCAAACAATTCAGATTCCTCAGACCTGCCTGATGGAGTGGGAGTGAGGACTTTAGGCTCTAGCCTGGATCCCTGAAATAGTTAAGACCTTGCAGAACCCCCTTCTCTGTTGACTGGAGCAGAGGTGTGGTGGGGAGAGCAGCACATCTGGCCCCACCCTGATCCACTTAGCCTGGACATAAAGGCACCACCTGGAAGGCAATATCTGTATTGGGGCACAGGGATCCCCTGAGACCTCAGTCTCCACATCTATAAAGAAAAGCTCTTCTAAGTGCAAGGAAAACATCTTCCTTTGTAGCTTTTGGGCTGGAAGTGCTCTAAAGAGACTTCACCCCTCTTTTTTTTTTCTTTGTAAATTTTTTCTTGTTATAAAGGTGATGTACAGAGGGATTACAGTTACATAAATTAGGTAAGGAGTACATTTCTTTTTGGGCTGTTGTCACCCCTTCCCTCACACTCTCCCAGTTTCTCCTCCCTTTTGGAGAGGCTGAGAATCCAATTAAGAGGAAAGAGTGCCTCTCCTGATTCTTCCCACAGGTACCTACAGTCAAGTTGAGGGGGTTGGGTGGCCCTTTTGGGGAAGATGCCTGTGTGCCTAGGCTCTGTCTTCCACCCTTGTCCCCCCACACCCATTCTTTTATGTAGCTGGAAGTATGTCTTGTTCTATTTTTAATTCTGTCCAGGCTTCTCTCCGCCCATGGGGCTGGGCAGCTGGTGGCCTCCTGGGTCTCTTGCCTCACCATTCAGGTTCAGAGATCTTGAGTTTGTTTCCTGTGGGAAGCTGGGGTGGCCATGTGTTCAGTCTGCTCCTGGAGAGCTCATGTCTCATTTCTAACTTTCTAACCCTTCACCAATTCTACACCTTCTTCCTAAGTTTCTCCTCTTTTTATTGTAGGTTTACTAGATTAATGTGGGCACTGAAAATGATGAGACCAAAACTTTGGGCTGTTCTAGTCTTAACAGCTTTCCAGCCCTCACCAACCCCTTTGTGTAGATCCACCTAAGACAGAGGCCTGCCGAAGAGCCTTCCTGTTGTCCTGTGCCTGTCTCCTAGGACCTCTTAAGTCCTGGAGGCCTTTTTTGTTTTTTGCTTCCCCCTCTGAGAGGAAGGTGGGGAGATAGTTGGTAACCAGAGCCAGGTGTCTGGTCCAACCTCTACCCCTACCCCTACTCCCCTGGTCTGGCTTCCTGAGCACATTCTCTTACCCTCCTCCCCCACCCCAGCCTCTCCAGTCTTAGTGGTTTCTAGCATAGTCCAGAACCCAAGTGCCAGACTTCAGGCTTGGAGATGGGTGTTAGTGTCCCCTCCTCCTGAATCTGGATAGAGGCTTGGGGGGAGGGGAAGTCACATTCCTGGTTGCTGAGTGGCCCTGGGGCGGGGTTGGGTTGTCATGGTGATGGGGATCCTGTTTGTGGGGGGAACTGCATGCCTTTCCACCCCCTGTTCCCACACCCCAGCTCTCCTGATGTAGGGAGGGCCCAATTTGTGTTGGGCATTTCTGGGGGGTGGGGGGAGGAGCTGGACCTCTGTCCCCAGAGGCCATGGGGCAAGGGGGAGGTGCCCAGAGCCTGAAGACTTCAGCTCTGAGGCAAGATGCCCCTCAAGACTTATGCCCAAGCCCCACCTCTGCTCTGGGTGTGTCTGGGTTCATTCCCATCCACCTAGCCTCCATGTCTCTGCAGGCTTCAATCACCTCCTGTTCCTGACACTGTGCAAATCACTGCCTTGACTTGACTGTCTCTCTCCTGCCTGTATCTGGGGCCCCAGTAAACATGGCCACCTGGCCTCTGCCCGGGCAGGAAGCTGGGCTGCTGGGGCTGTTGCAAGTGTTGTTGGGAATTGTAGTCCCTACCCCACAACCTTCATCTCTGCTTGGTCTGAGCTTCCCAGATCTGATCTGAGACTGGCTAGGCCTTTTAGCTCTATTTTTCTGACTTCAGACCTCTGCATGTCTCATCTTCTCTTGGGTCAGGACAAGTGGGTCAGGGGAATCAAGTCAGATAAAGTATGAGACCTTGCCCTCACCATCATTTGCCCTGTTGCTTTATATTAATCATTTCTTTCTGGCTCAGTTTCCTCATCTGTAAAAATAAAAGGGTTGACATTCAAAGTGTTCCCAGAAGCCTTTTGGAACTGCTTCTGGAGCCAAGAATCAAATAGGGCAGCCCTTTGGCCTCTTCCTCCACTTCAGCCAGAGATTGTGCTTTTGTGTCTAGACTCATACAGCAAGTAATATTGTGTGCCTACTGTGTGCTGGAGATAAAAGCACCAGAACCGGGTGTAATGGGACACTACTGTGATCCAAACACTTGAGATGCTGACATGGGAGGGTCTCAAATTCAATCTTACGAATTTGTTTTATTTTGATTTATTGGTTGTGGGACTTGAACTCAGGCCTGAGTGCTATCCTGAGCCTCTTTGTGTTCAAAGCTAGCACTCTGCCTCTTGAGCACTACTTCTGGGTTTTGTTTTCTTTTGTTGTGGGGCTTGAATTCTGGGTTTAAACCGCCACTTCCGGTTTTCTAGTGGTTTATTGGAGATAAGAGTCACAGGACTTTCCTGCCTGGGCTGGCTTTGAACCATGATCCTCAGTAGCTAGGATTACAGGCTTGAGCCACCGGGCGCCCTACTTCTGGTTTTTTAAGAGGTTAATTGGAGATAAGAGTCTCACAGGAACTTTTCTGCCTGGCTGGCTTTGAACCGTGAGCCATCCAGCACCTGGGCCGTGTAAGTTTTTTTGACCAGTCTGGGGAAAAAAATAAAATCAGTACTCTGGTCTCTGAGTTTGGGGTGGGAATAGTCCACATAGGCATTAATCAAGTAGTAATATGAAACAGTATAAACTTGCAAGTGTGAAGGAGAGGTGCTAGGAGAGTTTTCCCCAGAGAGCCGATAGGGTCAGGAGATGGGGAAGCTTTTTGGAGGAAGTTATGAGGAGCTGAGGCTGGGAGGCTGGTCAGGAGTTAGTGAGTGTGAGAGATTGAAGAACAGTGTGGCCAGAACAGAAGGCCAGGATCCTGGGAGGGACCCATGATAACCAACATTTGTAGGACATACTACATGCCAAGTTCCAGTCATTTAGCTCTCAGTCATGTGACAAGTGCTGTGACTCTCCTTTTTACAGATGAGGAAACAGGCAAAGAGGTGTTCAGAAGGTTACCCAAGGTCAAGCACTATTGATTTCAGAATTGAGATTCAGATCTTGCCATGAGAGAAGGGTATAGTAGTAGAAGAGGATGAAATACTCAGATCAACTTTTTATTTTCCTTTTGTGACAGTACTGGATTCCTTGAACTTAGGGCCTGGACCTAGGTGCTGTCCCTTGGGATTTGTTTTGTTTTGTTTTTTGGCTTAAGGCTGGCTGTCTACCAGTTAAGCACAGCTCGATTTCTGGCATTTTGCTGGTTAAATAGGTAAAGTCTCAGACTCCACTTCCCTGGCTAACTTTGAATTGAGATCCTCATATCTCAGCCTCTTGAGTAGCTAGGATTACAAGTATAAGCCACTGGCTCCTGGCTAAATTCAGGTCAACATTTAAAACTTGGACCTGAGCATGGTGCTGCACAACTAATTCCAGTATTCCAGAGGCTGAACTGGGAGGATTCCAAGTTGGAGGCCAGCCTGGGTTACACAGACCTTGTCTTAAAAATCAATACTAAGAAAGAGATAGCATTGGTTGGACCAGGTGGTAGCAGAGAAGTGAAGTTTGGCCAGGACTTGGAATGTTGGGGAAAAGGGTGTGCTGTGGTTTGTGAAGGTGAGGGAGGGATTCCTGGATTCTTTTGTCTTTCTGTTGGACTTTCATGTCTGACTTAATTTGAACCAAAGTCTTCTGCCAAAAATGGTTTGCAAACATGGGGAATCTCTGGGGTCTGCTCAATTTGGCTTTACCTGAACTACCATGCCTGAGAGGGTGGTGCTCTGCTCCAGACTAAAGACCTCTGGACTCCAGCTCACACTCGCTTCCCCCATTTCACCCCAGATTGATGAGATGCCTGAGGCTGCGGTGAAATCAACAGCCAACAAATACCAAGTCTTTTTTTTTGGGACCCATGAGACGTGAGTGAAGGGCTAGAGGGGCACGGGGGGGGGACCTCACAAGAGGACTCTTCTGGGGCGAGGTGGTGGCGGTGCCCTTCGGGGTTGGGCTTGTAGCTCATGGGCAGTGAGGGGCTTGAGAGCACAGTCTCCCATCTCTCACCAGGGCATTCCTGGGCCCCAAAGACCTCTTCCCTTACGAGGAGTCCAAGGAGAAGTTTGGCAAGCCCAACAAGAGGAAAGGGTTCAGCGAGGGGCTGTGGGAGATCGAGAACAACCCTACTGTCAAGGCTTCAGGCTACCAGGTGAGCTGCCATCTACCTTAGACACACTCCTGGGAGGCAGGTGTGGCATGGACTCTGGGGGAGGGCCCAGGCCCACAGGTGACACTTAGCCTTCAGGCACATCAGGACTTTAGAAGTGGGGGGGGGGCTTTTTCAGAGGGGTGGGACTGTGGGAATGTCACAGTAGTTGAGGTCTGGGGCCAGTCAGACAGTGGCTTAGGGGGCAAGAACAGGATGGAGGCGGTAAGTGGAGACAGGCTATGTTGGACCTGTAGACGTTTAGGACATGGCCTTATTCTTTTCAAGAAGGCTTCCAGGAGGAGGTGCTTGTGAGCCGGGCAGGACAAGGCGGGAGGGTGGGGGGCGGGCGTTGGCGGGGAAAGGGTCCCAGCTCCCTTTGGGAGAAGTTGACCCGAGGTTTTGCCTCCTGCTCCAGCCCTCCCCCCTCCTGCACAGAGCCCTGCCTGCCCGGCCAGTGGGTTTACCCCGGGGCTAATCCAACAGAGGTGGGTCTCAAATCACTTGTGAGACTGGGCACCTGGGTGGGGGGTGGGGGAGAGGTGGGAAAAGGAAGGAGTGAGTGGCTGAGGGGGTGGTCTGGGTGGGGTGCAGCATGACAGCCCCTCGTGCAACTCAGCCTCTTGCCATCTTCGCTGCAGTCCTCCCAGAAAAAGAGCCGTGTGGAAGAGCCTGATCCAGAGCCAGAGGCCACCGAGGGTGATGGTGATAAGAAGGGCAATGCGGAGGGTAGCAGTGATGAGGAAGGGAAGCTGGTCATTGATGAGCCAACCAAGGAGAAGAATGAGAAGGGAGCGCTGAAGAGGAGAGCCGGGGACCTGCTGGAGGTAAGTACCACCTGCTGGGGGGAGGGGGGAGCGGGCGGCTGGTCATCCTCAGCATTTTCACAGGGCAGTCCCACAGAAGCAGGGCAGAGAGATAAGCCTGAGAAAGAAATCGTGCGTATAGTTTTAGGAGTCCCCAGGTGAGAAGATGAGGTGTGGAAGAAGGCATTCTAGCTACTAATTGGCTGGGGATGGCCTATCTAGGTATCAACCCAGGAAAGAGCCCCTGAGGGATACAGGAGGGGATGTAAGTAGATGGCTGACTCTCTTCCTCTCTAGCTTCAGTCCACATTCTCTCTGCCAATCCTGCCTAGGACTCCCCTAAACGTCTCAAGGAGACAGAAGACCCTGAAGGTGAGGAGAAGGAAGCAGCCACCTTAGAGGGAGAGAGGCCCCTTCCAGTGGAGGTAGAGAAGAACAGCACCCCGTCTGAACCGAGCTCTGGCCGGGGACCTCCTCCAGGGGAAGAGGCAGAGGAGGAAGAGGCCACCAAGAAAGATGCTGAGGCCCAGGGCATCAGAGATCATGAGAGGTGAGTTAGTTGCTTTGTCCAGTGGGCTGAAGGGTCTAGCCACCTGCAGAGAGGAAGAGAAGGGTCAAAGTGGTCAGCCTCTTGGGAGGTGGGGTGGGAGCTCCCAGGAGACTGTCACTGGCTGGGGCGAGGCCCAGACCACACCATTAATCCTTCCTTCCAACCCTCCCCTGCAGCCTGTAGCCACCAATGTTTCAAGAGGAGCCCCTACCCCGTTCCTGCTGCTGTCTGGGTGCTACTGGGGAAACTGGCCATGGCCTGCAAACTGAGAACCCTTTTCCCATCCATCCCGCTCTCCTCCTCTGTTCACTCTCCCCACTTTTAAATCCAGCCCCCTGGAGATTGATCTGGGCCTCACTTCCAGGTCCCTACACCCTTGTGTGATATGAGTCAGGGCAAGTCTTCTGCTTTGGGGGATGAGATGAGGCCATTGTGTCCCTTCCTGCTTGAAGCTGTTTTCCAGAGCTTCTCTCTGACACTCCCCCTCCTGCACCAGTCATTCTGGACCCCTGGGTTGTGATTGGGTAGGAGTGGGAAGGATGGAGTGCAAACAGTAGAGTGGTTTTCTGGGTTTGAGAGGGGCAGTTCTCAAATTGTAGAAGGAGGACAGAAGGGTAGCATCTCTTGAGCACCTGTCTCTTACTTCCACATCTGTTTCCCAGTTGACTAGATTCATGGAAAGTAGGACAGCTTGTGGAGGAGGGGGCTCCCTTCCATATATACTTGGTGATTGGTAACACCCATTCTTTTCCTTACCTTGGGAAATGCTGTTTATCATCAAAAGACTTCGGGGCTTTCAAGTTGTTTGGGCCAAGGACCTGAGATCTGAGAGTTGACATCACCCATCTGGGTGAGAGTGTTAAGCCTCTGTCTCTGGGGCCAAAGATGGCATCACCTAGGGAGACCTGACCTCTAGCTGCCCTAGTCCTTCTTCCCACAGTGTTCAAGGCCAGCCTAAAAGTCATATATACATATATATATATATATATATACACACACACACATATATACATACATATATATATATATATATGTATCACCCAGACAGAAAAAGACAAATTTTTTAGGAAATGTTTTTAATAAAAGAAAATTACAAAAAAAATTAACTTTCCCCAAACCCTTTGTGTGCTCCCATTCAGCTCATTTCTTCCCATAGTTGCCCCCATTTCTGAGGTGCACTGGGAGGCTTCCCTTCTGTTTGGGGCTTGATGACTTCCTTTTTGTTGCTCAGGCTTTGGTGTTCTTTCCAGTGTCATTTCCCATCCACATAGCCCGACTTGGTTCCCTCGGTGTTGTCACCAGATCTCATTTGTAACCTACTGAGAGGACAGGGAAGTGCCCTTTCCCAGCCTCTTCTTAGTGGTTTTTCTATGCCTCTTTCGTCTCTCGTCTCTCACCCCTGCCTCTCTCTTGGGCTCTGATGAAAAATTGCTGACTGTAGCTTTGGAAGTTTAGCTCTGAAAACCAGTAGATGATTTCAGTTCTAGGAAAATAAAACCTGTTGATTACTATTATTGGATTCTGACTGATTATTTGGGAGAGGGGTATTGGTTAACTGAAGAAGGGGCAAAGGGATTACAAATATTATTTCCAAATCACCTTCGGAGATTGAGGTAGGAGTGTCAGCCCCCTCCAGTCTCAGGCTGTTAGAAATCCAGGATTCAACACAATTTTTGAAATCCAGATTCTGAATGAGGGCAATCCTATAATAAATCAACATCCATGCTACCTTTCTGCCGAACCAGTGTTTTAACACAGTTTCCCCTTGTGAGCATTTGGGCAAGGGTAGAGGAGGGGTAAAAAAAAAAAAGTATATGCCACAGCCCAGATGACTGTGCAAATAAGTGATTCTGTGGGTTTTTTTTCTGCTCACAGCTAATGTTCTACTACTTGAGCCATTTATCTATCCAGCATTTGCTGGTTAATGGGAGCAAGAATCTGGGACTTCCATGCCCAGGCTGGCCTTGAACTGAGATCTGAGGATCTCAGCCTCCTGAGTAGCTAGGATTACAGGAGTGAGCCACCAACGCCCAGCTCCACTTCCATTTTTATTTATTTATTTATTTTTTTGTAGTGGAGAAGAATTTCACAGCTGGGTGTCCATGAAACTCATCTCCACTTAGCCACTAGAAAACAGGAACTGGTGCTGTGCTCTAAGTGATAGTGCAACCCTTGAGTGCAAAAGCTCAGGGACAGCTTCCTGGACCTGAGTTCAAGCCCCACAGCCGACGAGAAAGTTTCACAGGCTTTCCTGCCCAGGACTGGCTTTGAACCACAATCCTCAAGAGTAGCTAGGATTACAGGCATGAGCCTGGGAGAAAGGTCAGAAGTGAGTCTGTTCTGGATTTAGATATAACTTTGAGCCCCAAGGGGAGGCCAAAGGACAGCTAACCTTTTAGTGCTAGTTGGATGGGCTCCTTGCCACATGACAAGCCAATTAAGAGATAAATATTAAGAAAGAACTAGTTAAAAAACCATGGAATCATAAGAAGATGGGAGATTTATCCAAAGTTTTTATCAGCGGGGAGCATGATTTAGGGGCAGTTTATATAGGAGATGAGTGATTAAGTGCAAGTGGGTGTCTTTTCACAGGTGGATGTCTGTGGCTAAATAACATATCAGATCCAAATTGATTAGTCATGCCTGCCTTCCTAGGTCTGCACATTTGCAGATTTCCTTGGGCAATTCTTGTCACTGATTTAGTTTGTTCACCTAAGTTACTGACATTACATGTTTAACAAACTAGAAGTTCCTAGTTGCCTAGAGGCCTTGCTGATCATAGATCAGTGGTGAAAAAACATACTTGACCTGATTTTTATAAAAGAGAGGTTCAGATGAGAGCAAATCAGGAGTCAAGAGATCTGGTTCAATTTTGAGCTTCACTAGAAATGCCTGTCACCTTTAACTGGTGATGAGAGTGTGAGAAAGGCTGATAGAATGGAATCCTGCTTGTACTCTTAGTACTGAATCTGATCATTTCAGATTCCTTCCAGATCTGACATTTTGTGACTAGATAATTTATTAGCATTAGAAGGGTCACTGTTTCATCTCTGCCTCTAGGAAACATAATCGTTTTTTAATCTGCCGTAGCCTTATAAGCAGAAAAGGACAAGTACAGTAATAGTTGTAGTCATGGAATGAGATCTTTGAACTGGAAACTACAGTCATCTAGAAAATGGAGCCATTTCTGGAAACTACAATTCCCACCGACCTCCACGCTACAGGACATGCGCAGCAAAGGTTCAGCGTCGTCAGCCTATCCTGTTTTGCCTTCAGTTCCCGACAGGCTTCTGACTTCCTATTTCCGGTCGAGCTTCTTGCTTCAGCCTTGCTTTGTAGAGGGACTGCAACTCCCAGCATGCTGAGGCAGGAATCCTTGAACTTCACTCTGTAATTAGACTACATTTCCCAGAAATCCGGTGAGCAGGGACAGGCAAGGTTGAGCAGCCCAGTGCCGAAGTTACGCACGGCCGCTCGGCCGCACGGAAACAGGGAGGTGAGGTTGGTCGGTGGGGAGGTAGACGCGGGAAGGGACTCGGTTGCCTCCCCTGAATTTCTTTACGCTGGGAAGTTGGAGCAGGTGTGTGCTGAAGATTGCTGGCGCCTAGGGACATTGTTAAGATCTGGGTCTGCACCCCAAACGGGTTGGTAGAGAAATCCATGGCAGCTGTGACCCCAGCGGCAGATATTGGACCCCTGCGGCTTGCGCTTCCAAATGAAAGCCCACTGTGGAAGCAGCACCGGCCTCTCCACGATGTGGAGAGAACCAAAGGAAGGTCTGAGGGGTGCATTCTGTGGCCGATTGGCTCTCCTAGAGTTCAGATCTAGAATGACGTGCTTGGGGAGCCTCTACAGCACTCAGGCAGGTGGCTTGGGTCTTAAGATTTGCCTAGTTCCAATCAAGCTGTTTGTCATTCCAGCTCTCAGGGGTACCTTAGATAACTTGCATCTTCCTGGGCAATGTAAAGACAAGATACCGGTAATAGTGAATTTCCCACCATTTGGTTTGTCACGTACGCATGTATCAGTTTGTAATTTGTTGAATCTGAGTAGGAATGCTTAAACCCTTACATTCAGCCAGCATTATTATTTTTGTCCGTATTAGAATGTATAAAGAAGAAAACTGGACTGCGAATGCGCTTGCCCAAGTGCAAAATCCTCATGGGAGCGGGTGTAATTAGCTCACTATTCAGATAAATCAGTTATTATTTTCCTTATAATGTGCTCACAAGGTTAAAAAGGGCAAGCCGGGTGCCTGAGGCTCAGACCTGGCTACTCAGGAGGCTGAGATCTGGAGGATCACAAGATGAAGCCAATCTGGTCAGAAAAGTTCCATAGACTTCATCTCTGAAATAACCAGTAAAAAAACCAAGATGATGGGGGGAGGGAGGGAGATGGATGTGGCTCAAGTATTGAGAGTGTGAGCCTCACAAGCACAAAACCTTGAGTTCAAACCCCAGCACTGAGAAAAAAAATGCAAACATTAGCTGGACATAGATGCACATCTATGTGAGAAAAGTGCCTTTTCTCTAGTTTGCTTCTTTTTTAGGGCTTGAACTCAGGGCCTGGGTGCTATCCCTGAGCCTCTTTGTGCTTAAGGCTAGCATTCTTATTTGTGCCACAGTGCCAATTCTAGATTTTTTCTGACTGATTTATTGGTGATAAGAGTCTGATGGACTTTTCTGTCCAGGCTGGCTTTGAACCAGGATCTTCAGATCTCAACCTCCTGAGTAGTAGCTAGGATTGCATGGATGAGCCACTGATGCCCTGCTGTTCTCCCCCCCCCCGCCCCCCTCCCCGTCGGTCATGAGGCTTGAACTCTGGGCTTGGGTGCTGTCCCTCAGCTCTTCAGCTCAAGGCTAGAGCTCCACCACTTGAACCACAGCACCACTTCCGGTTTTCTAGTGGTTTATTGGAGATAAGAGTCTCACAGACTTTCCTGCCCAGGCTGGCTTTGAACCATGACCCTCAGATCTCAGCCTCCTGTGTAGCTAGGATTACAGGCGTGAGCCACCAGCGCCCAGCTTGTGTTGTTTTAATGAAAAGGTCCTTCTTTGGTTAGGTAGCTTGGCCCTTGTTAATTATATTTTAGCTACATCTTTTTCGTGACCTGCTTTAAGACATCTTGTTCTTGAATTTTAGTTGCATCTTGTTAATTAAGCCACATCCTTTTGCAGACTGTGAACCTGAGTTCAGCCAATTTGAGCAGAGGGGCAGGGCCTGCTAGATTATGGATTAAAAAGGCAGCAGTCTGCCTGCTGTGTGCTTGGTTTGCCAGATTGTGGCTGATGGTGCACCCTTTTGGAGAAGTAAACAGCTTGCTGAGTTCCCTTCAAGTTGGTGTCCTTATTTCTATGTGATGCCCCAACATCCTAAGCTATTTCTAACATATAATCCTAGCAAAAGGGAGACTGGGGCAGTAAATTTGAGAAATGCCTGGGCTCCACTGGAAGACCCAGTCTCAAAAAAAAAAAAAAAATAGCATGGCACCAACCTCCCTATAAAGTTTTATGTATAGTGAAACATGCCTAGAAGTTGCCTAATATTACACAGTCAATGTGACAGAACTGGGACTAAAACCCAGATGCACTAGGGAGTTACCAATCAGGTGATTCTTACCCCCCAGTTTAGGGCTTAAACTCAGGGCCTGGGCTCTGTTCCAGAGCCTCTCTGTGCTCAAGGCTAGTACTCTACCACATGAGCCACAGCACCACTTCCAGCTTTTTCTGTACTAAGGAATCAAATCCAGGGCTTCATGCATGGTAAGGACGTACTCTACCATTAGGCCAGATTCCCAGCCCCAGTTTAAGGTTTTTTTTTTGTTGTTGTTGTTTCTTGGGTCCGGTCGTGGGGCCTGAACTCTGGGCCTGGGCACTGTCCCTCAGCTCTTCAGCTCAAGGCTAGCACTCTACAACTTGAGCCACAGTGCCACTTCTGGCTTTTTTCTTTTTTGCTTATGTGGTGCTGAGGAATTGAACCCAGGGCCTCATGCATGCAAGGCAAGTACTCTACCACTGAGCCACCTTCCCAGCCCAGTTTAGGGTTTTTTATGCCATTATTGCATACTTGTACTTTGAAAGTACATTTATGTTTATCTATAAATGAGACTATTGATTCTTCATCCGTCCTTAGCAAGCACCTAGCATGCTTAATAAACTGAAGCACTCACACACATCCTCTCACTTATCACCCAAGCTGGCTTTGAACTCAAGCTAAGATCCTTCTGCCACCCCACCCAGCCAGCACTTTATTTATGCCAATTCTTTTTTTTTTTTCTTTTTGCTTATGTGGTGCCAAGGAACCCAGGGCCTCAGGCATGCAAGGCAAGCGTTCTACCACTGAGCCAACTTCCCAGCCCTGCCAATTCTTTTACTACCATAATTTGGTCCACCATCCAAAACTGAAAGGCCACCTTAGGGTACATTAGAAAACAAACTATCTTAGGCACTAATGGTTTTTGTCTTGAGGACAGAAAGTAGGATTAGGACATTTTAAGCCATTTTTGTCTGTTACCTTTTCATTTTTCCTTACAACTGCCTGTCTTTGTGTCTTATGTATGTTCCATTACTAGCTTATTTCCTATCCTATTACTTTTTCATTCATTCTTGAGTACCTGCTATATGCCAAGCTGTACTGAGAGTTTCTGCACTCAATAGTAAGCTATATATCATAGCCACTGCCCTCATGTTTTTTTTTTTTTTGAAGTCAGATACAGGTAGATTTGTCAGCTAACCCCACGTAGTAGCTTTGTGACCACTGACCAGTTATTTAACTTTGTTCTCATCTACAAAGACACCATGTTGTGATGATTCAATGAGAAAAGGTTCATTAGGCAACAAAGTCAAGTGCTTTAAAAATGTTCCCACCCAAAGGCGTAACTCATTTTTTTTCTTGTTGGTCATGGGGCTTGAACTCGCCTGGTCACTCTCCTGAGCTCTTAAGCTCAAGGTGAGCACACTACCACTTAAGCCAAAGCGCCACTTCCTGTTTTCTGGTGGTTAATTGGAGATAAGAGTCTCACAGACTTTCCTGCCTGGGCTGGCTTTGAACCTTGATCCTCAAATCAGCCTCCTAAGTAAGAGTACAGGCATGAGCCACAGGTGCCCAGCCATAACCCATCAGGTAAAATACTATTTATTGGTCTGGGAATGTGGCTTAGTGGTAGAGTACTTCCTAGCATGCATTAAGCCCTGGGTTTGATTTCCTAGTATCACATAAACAGAAAAAGCTGGAAGTGGTTCTGTGGCTCAAGTGGTAGCATGCTAGCCTAGAGCAAAAGAAGCTCAGGGACAGTGCCCAGGCCCTGAGTTCAAGCCCCAGGACTGGCAAAAGATTGAATTTTTTTTTTTTTTTGCCAGTCATGGGGCCCGAACTCAGTCTGGGCGCTGTCCCTCAGCTCTTCAGCTCAAGACTAGCGCTCTCCCACTGGAGCCACAGCGCCACTTCCAGCTTTTTCTGTTTATGTGGTGCTGAGGAATTGAACCCAGGGCCTCATGCATGCAAAGCAAGCACTGTACCACTGAGCCACCTTCCCAGCCCCAGATTAAATGAATTTTTTAAAAAGTATTATTTATGGAAACAAATTCCAGGAAATGGAAAGATCGTTTCTTTTCTCTCCTCCCCAGAGCTGACAAAGTTTGTTAAAATGTGTTTGTGACTTTAACTAAGGATCACTATTCATAATACTGTGAAATATGTGAAGTTTACATAATCACCTAATCTCAATTTAAAAAACAAGAGAAGGGATGGTTTAGGGGTGATGAGTGACAATGTTGTCAGACACCTTGTATTCATATACTGTTTTGTAGAATGGGAATTTCTTTGTACAACTACTTAAAACTTTTAAAAATTATATATATATATATATATATATATATATATATATATATATATATATATATATATATAAAACGTTCCTTTCCTTCTCTCTTCCCCAGAGCTGACAAAGAAAATTTGAGTCTTCCACTTGTTAGGTGATTTCTCACAGCCTCCAACCATGCGTCTCTCTGTTGTGCTGGCCCTGGCATCCAAGGTTACGCTACCCCCTCACTACCGATATGGGATGAATCGTCCAGGCTCCCTGGCAGACAAGAGGAAGAACCCTCCGTGGAGGCGGCGGCGTCCAGTGCCTGTGGAACCCATTGCTGATGAGGACTGGCATCTGTTCTGTGGGGATACAGTGAGTGCTTCAGACAGCAGAGTGATTGGGAGGTTCCAGGGCAAGAATCCCTCCCTCATCATCCTATCTTCCCATAGGTGGAAGTCTTAAAAGGCAAAGATGCTGGGAAACAGGGCAGAGTGATACAAGTAATCCGGCAGCGAAACTGGGTGGTTCTGGAGGGACTAAACACAGTAAGTGAAGCACGGTGGGACGCTCAAGACATTTGCATCACCTCTTCCTCCCCTTCAACTGCAGCACAGGGTCACTGAGGGGCTGGTTGTACAACAGAACCTTCTACTTTTCAGCTTGGGGAGAATGTGCTAAGCAGCAGTGGGGTAAGCCCCTTTTACACCTGTGCTTTCTGAAACCCTCCTTCTTTCCCTTGGATAGCATTACCGCTACATTGGCAAGACTCTGGATCATCCAGGAACCATGATCCCTAGTGAAGCACCATTGCTCCACAATGAGGTCAAGCTAGTAGATCCCATGGACAGGCAAGTACATGAGACTCTGTCCAGAGGGCTTCCTACTCTCTGAGTCCATAGGTATATTTGACCAGTGCCAGGGGTGGATAGTTCACTAATCCATTGGGATGGTGTGATAGATACTCTGTTGATTTCTACTCAGACTCAACAAATCTCAGGAGTCCATCTCCTTGACATGGTTCTCTGTAACACTGATGCAGAGGTAGAGAAACAAGGTGGAAAAGTTAGTCGTTTCAACCATTCATTGATGGTGCTTTTGGGTTTGGGGCATAGTACATGTACCTTGGCTTCTACGTCAGGCTGTCTTTTTCTATCTGCCAGGAAACCTACCGAGATCGAGTGGAGATTTACTGAGGCAGGAGAGAGAGTTCGAGTCTCTACAAGATCAGGAAGAATTATCCCCAAACCTGACTTTCCCAGATCTGATGGCATTGTCCCTGAAACCTGGATTGGTGAGGCTGGGGAAGGGAAGAAGCAAGATGGGGTGGGAGGAGTGAGAGGGAAGGATAATATCCATACAAGTTGGCAGCAGCTAGGTGTGGTGGTAGACACTATATCAGCACTGAGGAGGCCAAGGGTGGGAAGTTGACAAGCCCAGGCTACTATCAAGACCTTATTCTAAGAAATTAAGGGCAATGGATATAGCTCAATGGTATAGTACTCGTCTAACATGGAGGGCCCTGAGTTCTACCTCCCAACAAGGAAAAAAAGAAAAAGACAAGTTGGCAACTATCTTAACAACTATCTTCTTTCTCTGGCTTAACAGATGGCCCCAAGGACACATCGGTAGAAGATGCTCTAGAAAGAACTTACATTCCTCGTCTAAAGACACTAGAGGAGGAGGTGATGGAAGCAATGGGGATCCAGGAAACTCGAAGATATAAGAAAGTCTATTGGTATTGAGCCAAGAAGAGCAGCTCTCTTCTGCTATCTTTATTTTGAAGGCTAAGGCAATTCTTCCTCAGATACCAATAAAGAGACCTGAGCCCCATGTGCAGTCTGTGCTACAATGGTGCCCCAACCCCTCAAGTGACTCCCCACAGAGCCACTTCATAAACAGCTTTCCTCATAGGACTGACCTGGGAGGGACATTGGCCAGCCTGAAGACAGCCCTCCTAATGGGCAGTTTGAATGCTTTGGGAAGGAAGCCAGAGGGAAAAGGAAGTCCCTCCAGTGGAGACCTCTAGGCAAAATGTGTCCATTTAGACCACTCTTATGGAGGATATGGGCAGTGGGCATGAGACTTCCTGCACCTTTGTAGGGAGAGTGCCACCACCTGCACTTTACTTACGGGAATGGAAGAGAAGTAAATGTCTTCCAAGTTTTCATGAATTAAAAATAAATCTTCACACAATCTTGCAGTAAACATGGACATTTAAAAAGGGTTGAAACTGAAGTTTTGCAGGGAGCCAGGATTCCAACCATAATGCAGAATGCTGCTTCTCCGGGTGACAAGGTGCCATTGGCTATTCCCAGTGGAACAGGGTCTGAGATGAGCCCTTCTTCAGGCTGTCAGCTGTCTTCAGTTTCCAGAGCAGAGAAGGCCTGACCCAGGGGCATCTTAGTGGCCACTAGAACCATGTTTCTGGGAGAGAGTTCAGGGCTGAAGATGGGTAGGAGCTCAGCATGAAAACCTAGAAGAAAGGCAGAGTTGATCACCTTGCTCAGCCAATTCCTGCCTAATCTATGGGCATAGCCACTTCTCTCCAGGGGAAACTTTTAACTGGACTAAGCCATTTCTCCAGGAGCAAGGATACTGATGGACCTGGGGAGGTGCAACTACAGACTGGCTTTTTTTTTTAGATTTTTTTTTTTTTGGTCCAGTCATGGGGCCTGAACTCTGGGCCTGGGCGCTGCCCCTCAGCTCTTCAGCTCAAGGCTAGCGCTCTACCACTTGAGCCACAGTGCCACTTCTGGCTTTTTTCTTTTTGCTTTTGTGGTGCTGAGGAATCGAACCCAGGGCCTCATGCATGCAAGGCAAGCTCTCTACCACTGAGCCACCTTCCCAGCCCCTACAGGCTGTTTTAATATGAGTCTTCTTTAGCTAATCATTTACCCCTCCAAGTGATGAACCAGACCCAGCAGGTTAGGGGACTGAAACTTGAGTAAGTCCCAGAACTTGGCCCCTTACCCTGTTCTTGAAGATAGAGCAGTCGGTCCAGCAGAATCAGTGTCTCCACTAGTGGGGCCATGAGGAGGGCCAGGCTAAAAAAGGCCACCACACGATTCTCCTGGGCCTCATGGGCCTGAAGAGCAGCCAGATTCAGTGGCAGCTGGGGATCTAGTCCCACTCGCTGTAAACCCCGCTGCACGTATCTGTGGGATGAGCAGACAGCACTGAGTTCTGACTTAGGCACCTCCACCTCCCACTTAAAACTTTGCTAATCAGATGATTTAAATGGACTCCTGGTGTGAGCCCAATAAAGACTGTTTATGCCTCAAAAAAAAAATTTAAGAGGCAGGATTTCATTATGTTGCTCTAGCTAGGCCAAATTTCTAGGCATAAATGACTCGTCTTAGCTAGTGCTTGGCTTAGTATGTAACATTTGTTTTTGAGATAGGGTCTCACTCTGTAGCTCATGGTGGCATCAAACTCACACCTGTTGTCTTAGCCTCCTGAGTGCTGGAGATGCAGATATACATCACACTCAGCCAGCAAACTTTTTTGAGTAGGATGGTTAATTGTGTGTGTGTGTGTGTGTGTGTGTGTGTGTGTGTTGGTCTTGGGGCTCAAACTCTGGGCCTCGGTGCTATCCCTGAGCTCTTTAGCTCAAGGCTAGTGCTCTACCACTTGAGCCAGAGTACCACTTCTGGTGGTTTATTGGAAGAGTCTCACGGACTTGCCTGCCCAGGCTGGCTTTGAGCCACAATCCTCAGATTGAGTAACTAGGATTACAGGCATGAGCCACTGGTACCAGGCTTGGTTAATTTGCTTTTAACTTGCCTAAGCCACAGGATGCAGCAAGGATATTTTCTCTGGCTGTAAACTACCTGATTATTTTTGCCTAACTTTCCCCAAGTACTTACTCTTTAACTTAGGGCCTGGGCACCATCTCCAGGATTTTATGCACAAGACTAGCGCTCTACTACTTAAACACAGCAAGGACTTGTATATAATTGGAGATAAGAGTCTCATGGACTTTCCTGCCTGAGCAGGCTTTGAACCCTGATCCTCAGAGCATAGCCTCCCAAGTAGCTAGGATTACAGGTGTGAGCTACCAGCTGTCAGCTCTTTCTCACTCCCCCCCCCCCCCAGTCCTGGGGCTTGAACTCAGGGCCTGGGCACTGTCCCTGAGCTTCTTTGTTTATGTTGTACTGAGGAATCAAACCCAGAGCTTCATGCATGGTAGGCATGGTAGGCAAGCACTCTACCACTAAGCCACATTCCCAGCTAGTTTTATTGGTTTTTGTGTGTGCCAGTACTGGGGCTTGAACTCAGGGTCTAGGTGCTCCCCCCCAGCTCAGGGCTCGTGCTCAACCATTTGAACTATAGTTGCACTAACAGTTTTTTGGTGGATTTCCTTCCTGAGCTGATTTAAGACATCACAGAATAGCCCAGGATAGCTTTGAATTCAAGATTCTTTCTTGCCTTTGCCTCCCAAGTACTGGGATTACAGGCATGCTCTACCATACCCAGCAAGAACAACTTCTTTAGGAGAAATCTGGAGTTGTGCAAACAAGTGGAGGTAGGCAAGGAATTTTTTTTTTTGGGGGGGGGTCCAGTCGTGGGATCTGAACTCTGAGCCTGGGCGCTGTCCCTCAGCTCTTCAGCTCAAGGTTAGCGCTCTACCACTTGAGCCACAGCACCACTTCTGGCTTTTTTTCCCTGCTTATGTGGTGCTGAGGAATCGAACCCAGGGCCTCAAGCATGCAAGGCAAGCGCTCTACCACTGAGCCACCTTCCCAGCCCAGGAATTTGGTTTCTAGTTGGATATGCCCACTCCCAAACCTCACTCTTCTATCTTGAGCTCATGGACCCTGGGGATCCCCTGCACGCCAGGCCGTTGGAGTTCAGGGCAGGCATGTCGGATCACTGTCTCCAATGCTGCTCGATAGCAGTGGGTTCTCAGGTCCGGGCGTGCTTTCTGCAGCCGCTCAGCATATTCTTCCAGGGCATGGCAGGCCCCTTCCCGGAGCCTGTAGGGTAGTTCATAGCCAGGCAGGCCAGCTACCCACTGACTCAATGGGTAGCCACCAGGGTCGCTGAGCTTCATGTAGCAGCAGCCCACTGAGGCCAGGGCCACCACCTCAGGGCAGCAGCAGAAGTGCCTCAGTAAGGCAACACTGAGATCCCCACAGGCATGGAGGCCTGTGAGCAGCAAACGGGTACCACCATGCTGAGTGCTCTCCAGGGGAAGCAGAAGTTCCTCACACAGGTCTATGGGGTCCACCCACTTTACAACATGATGAGGCAAGCATCGGCCTCTTTGGACCACCTGTGGGGAGGGGAAAGGACAAAGACAAATGGAATGTGTTTTTGCTACCCCCAGGCCACCTCATGCCATAGGGAGGATCTATCCTCTGGGTTACTTCCCAAGAAGTATGAGAGGAAGCAGGGAACAGGAGAGCTGGGATAAATTCTGGGTACATCATTATTAAGCCTTCTGTCTTTCAGAACATTTTCCGTTTTCTCCCCTTTATTATTATTATGCTAGGGATCAAATCCAGGGCCCATGCTGGCTAGGCAAGCATTCTACCACTGAGCTACACAGAAATTCTTAAGTATTAAGACTATTATGAACAAGAAAACCAGGAGCATGGGGGTTGTAGCTCAGCATGAGGTCTTAAGATTCCATCCCCGGGCTGGGAAGGTGGCTCAGTGGTAGAGCGCTTGCCTTGCATGCATGAAGACCTGGGTTCGATTCCTCAGCACCACATAAGCAAAAAGAAAAAAGCCGGAAGTGGCACTGTAGCTCAAGTGGTAGAGCGCTAGCCTTGAGCTGAAGAGCTGAGGGACAGCACCCAGGCCCAGAGTTCAGGCCCCATGACCGGGACCCCCCCCCAAAAAAAAAAAATCCAACCCCAACCACTGAAAAAAAAAAAAAAAATCCACTGGCCAAAAATCTCTTTAGGGTATGGAGAAGTTTTGAGGATAAGGAAAGGAACAAGGATATAAGAAATAAGGATGCCATCATCTCAAAATGAGAAACTTGAAAGTGGGAATTTAGTTTTAGTACCCAAGTCCTGCAAAGCAGATCTGCTTTTGGAAACATGGCTGCAAAAAAAGTGACCTACCCTTGGATTCCTCTTCTCCACTTTTGCCAGAACCTGAAGGAGCTGCTGATCCAAGCGTTGGGCTCTCTCTACCAGTCTCTGGTCTCCTTCAATGCTCTTTACCATCAGCCCCAGCCCCAGAGACATGAAGCGGGAGAGATGGCCCTGAAAGGGAGAACAAAGACAGTCTGTTCAGTGTCCTATTCACTGTCACCCTCCCTATCAGTGGCCTAGATATCTGGGCCTCACAGAAGGCTTAATTTCGGTCCTGCTGGTTTCAACACTTCCCAGCACCTGATTTCCTGGGCCTGAGGCCTGAGAACTTACCAGCCCTATCTTTCTGACTCCAAAGGACATTAGGGGGTCTGGCTCACCTGGCCTGAGCCCACATCCACAACCTGGGTGCAGCCAGTGAGGTCACTCAGTTTCTTCACCAACTGAAAGAGGAGGAAATAAAAATCTTCTAACTACTGGCTTTTTTTTTCCCCCTAAGACTAGGACTTAAACTTGGAATCAGATACTTTTGCTCATTGGCTGGTGCTCTACCACCTGAGCCCTGCCTCCAAACTCATGACTATTGGCTTTTGACTCCAGGAGCCAACAGCCATAATGAGGCTAGTAGAGCCAAAGATGGCAGAGGAAGATGGATGAAGGGTGCCATAGACACACAAGAAAAACCAGGTCTAGAGATATAGCTCAGAGGTACAGCGCTAGCTTAGCATGCATGAGGCCCTGGGTCCTATCCCCATCACTTAAAAAAGCAATAAAGATATGGAA